GCGGGAAGCCTGCTTCTCCCTCTCCCACTCCCCCTGCTTGTGTTCCCTCTCTCACTGTGTCTCAGTCAAATAAATAAATAAAATCTTGAAAAAAATAAATGAAAATGTCAACAAAAGCCAAGTTTGATTAGTTTTTATAGTGTTTACCATTAGTATTTGGTGAGGTGAGAATGGTTCCAATTACATATGCTGACACATTGAGAATAAAATATTTAGGGGTGCCTGGGTGGCTCAGATAGTTAAGCATCTGCCTTTGGCTCAGGTCATGATCTCCAGGTCCTAGGATCGAGCCCCACATCAGACTCCTAGCTCAGTGGGGAGTCTGCTTCTCCTTCTCCCCCTGCTTGTGCTGTCTCTCAAATGAATAAATAAAATCTTTAAAACTAAAATATTTAATATTCTATTTTCAATGGTTTTCTATATCAATACTATCTAATTGGAATCTCAGGTTTCAAGTACATATACAAAACATTTGGTATGTATATACTGAAGTTAATACATGGAGAAAACAAAATACACTTAACAAAGGATTGGAATTCACAATGGATTACAAGTACTTACTTGAAAAATGTTCTTGGTCGACACCATTACTACTTCCCACTATATTACATAACTGGACATTCGTTATCAAGTTGTGCATCCCAAGAATAGCTACAAATATAGAAAAAGAAAGTTATTTTTATTTCCATCAGTTTCAAACACAAAGAATTGATTTTACAACCAAAATTTTCTGATTTTAACATTTCCTGAACATTTTCCTACTGAATTAAATATAGATTTTGCAGCCAAAAAAAAGGGAGACAATGTCTCCTACAATCTTTCTCATTAATACCCCTATTACTTCCCCTATTTGGGATTTAGATTTCCCCACATTTCTGAATTCAGACACACAACTAAAGCCAGCCTAATCCTAAATGTAAATCTATACTTAGCTCCATCTGGTGGCTAAGAGAGAATACTGAAATGATCTATTTTTGCTGTTCATCCTTCTCACAAAGGGTTCTAGGAACAGTGCGATACAAGGCAGATTTTCAACCTCACCATTATTTCTACACTTGTTAACCTCATGTTCATTTACACTCATATTTTAGCTAAGAGTAGAATACCAAAACTATAGCTGAATTCTCATCTTTAAGATTAAAGTAGCATCCCTCAAAAACGACAGGAGAGAGAAATTCGGGTTTCGGTTTTGATGCTCTTTTGCACACATGTGGCAGAAGCTACAATATGCCCCTGGTCCATTCCACTCTGATGAAAGCACCATTTACAAATTCAACAGTCCTCAGCATTCCAAGGAATGAGACATCTGCTCTGGCTGTAGATGAATCACACATTGATTGTCCCTTTCCTGGGTCCTTCCCAAAGAACCATCACTCTTCCTTTCAAACATATTAGCTTTTAGGGTTCCTTGGTGCTAAGATATCCCCATGTGTCATATTTTTCTACCTAGGTAAATGGGTGCATGCAGAGGAAGGTCGGGGAGATACTGGTCCAGATAAGAAACCAGCAATGATGACAATAACGGGAGGTTTGGAGTGTTCTAGATATGTCTAAAAGTGGGGAAAGGGGTGAGAATAGCTCAGAACTATTTCATCTGCTTTCCAGTTACTCAACTTAGGGGTTTTCCTTTTTTTCCACCCAAAGTTTATTTTATTTATTTTTAGTAATCTCGACACCCAAGGTGGGGCTCAAACTCATGACCCCAAGATCAAGAGTTGCATGTTCTTCCGACTGAGCCAGGCAGGTGCCCCTCATCTTAGGGACTTCTGATAAAATGGGACAGCAATCGACCCTGGAAACTCTTTTTTGATGCTTAGATGGGACAGCTTCTAGCTGTGCACCAACTACTAAAAGATTTTTATAAAGACTTTCAAATATGGTAACATGGGAAAAGAAGTCAAATAATACAATACATCCCATTAACAAAATTTCACCACTGACAGCATTTTAAAAAATGAAACCCTTTATGTCAGATTTATAGTGTAAAAAACAAAGCCAAATATGTGGTCTACTGATTCAATAGCACTTTGCTAGGCAAAGGAAGCATCTGTAGGATGTACGTGCTGGCATTCCTTCCCCTCCCCTCCATACTCATTCACCCATTTGTTTTAGGAGATACCTGCAAGGTCACACAATTCTGTATCAGAAGCACTTGTCAAAGCTTCTTCTAATTCTGGATCAAGAGATACTTTTTCTTCTGTGAAAGTCTGCATAGGCTTCTGTTTAGGGATAAATATTTTCCCTGTAAAATAAAGCAGTTTGTTAATTCCAATACTACTGCTATGAATTAACTCATTACCATTTTACTCTTTTTAACAAAAATTATGAAAAGTATGTACAACTGAAGCTGAAGGAAAAAGTCAAGATAAACACCTACAATAATGTTGTTTCATCTTCAATATGTATTTCAAGTTTCCAGGGCAATACTGTGGCTGTACAAGTAGGAATGAAAAAAAATTAACTGAGAAATTGTCCTATTTGTGAAAATAAAAATAGGCTCTTTTTGGAGTAATTAGGAGTTACTCAACAAATACTGAATTAAAAGATGAATGTAGGAATAAATTTTAGAAATCTATAAAACTTTAGAGATTAAAAAAAACAACAGAATCCACTTTCTCTCTTTTTTTTT